GGTGTAATTTCAGAGCTGGGAAAAAAGGACAATTCTAGAAAGCGGAACTACTGGATCTTAAAGAATTAATTCTCCAGTTTGGCCAAGAGGTTGGGACATTGAGCTCTTACAGAACCACCTGATTAAGAGCTTATTTAAGATCAGTGTTCCACAGGACATTAATATTGGGATAAACAAAGTCAAACAGCTTCCTTTACTGTGTGCAGACTCAAGAAGTCTTCCCTGTGCTCTTGAGTACTGTGGGTTGCTAAGCAAAGACATGGTCTTTGTAGCTTTCCCAAGCTTATAGGAAACACTTTCTTCTGGACCTATTAACAGGAGTCAGTACTTCTTGCAGCATTTATTTGTGAATCACTGAGTTACTCTCCCCCTATTACTCCTGTGGTGTCCCTTACCAAGATGGTTTTGGACAGCATAAACTAAGTGGGTCCTGGTCATTCTGTAATCTGCAGATCATCTGTAAGTGGGCCTTTTTTTTTTTTTAACTGCTTATAGCTTGCTTCTTTTGTGATTTATCTCATTATTAGTGAAAAGAAATGAGCACAGTTCTTTTATGAAATGAGGCAATCAAAATTATGTGAGAGAAATTTAGTTAAAAATTAAAATATTCCTGGCTGGTGTAGCTCAGTGGATTGAGCGTGGGCTTGCGAACCAAAGTGTCGCAGGTTCAATTCCCAGCCAGGGTACATTCCTGGGTTGCAGGCCATAATCCCCAGCAACCACACACTGATGTCTCTCTCTCTATCTCCCTCCCTTCCCTCTCCAAAAATAAATAAATAAAATCTTTTTAAAAAATTAAAATATTCTTTACTGTTATATCCATATACCTTATATATTAATGCCACCAAATTTTAAAAAATAACTATGGGCATGACATTGATATGAAGTACTTTTAATTTAAATATGCAAAAACATAAAGTTAATATAACAAAAAGGTTAAGATAAAATTTTTGAAATAGGCCAATCTAAATAAAGCCTCCCATTTACTGAATTTCTCCTGTTTATTTATCTGTTTTTACCATACACTATCCCTGCTCACAGCAAGCCAAAGATGAAACAGAGTAGCTTATAATATGAAAAACACGTATTGCAAATGAGTCATAAAATAGAAAAATGGCCACTTGCCAGTAGCCACATGAATTTGGAAGGAAATGCATTCTCTATGAGGGTGATTTGTCACAGGAATGGCAAGCATTTATTAAAAGCATTAAAATAGTGAAAATGTGACCCTTAGGCTATATAGTGATTCATTATTCAGAAGCATAACATGTAACAAATACATAATTTATTTTGAAACTAATCAGTTTTAATTACTTTTTTAGGTGAAGGACAAAATCTGAAAAAGAAAAATGCAGTGAAACAGAAATAGTAACTCCTTATGCATGCAGATACCACTTTTATTTTTATTGTATATGGCCTAGCAATTACTGAATATGGACCTCCCACTTACATTTATATATTCACAAACTCATACTCTTTCACTCTGCCAGAAGGCATTTTGCTGGAGTGTATCTGCTTTTCCTTACTACTGTCAGCATCTGTTCTCTACTAATATAATGTCTACTTGTGGCCTAACAGTGGGATTCAAAGGCATGCTATCATATTGATTCTTCTAACAAGAGGGAAACAGCAACAGCTGCTTTATTTCCTGGAAACTCTTTCCAGAAGTCAGGAATGCTGGGAAATTTTCCAGACTGACTTACAGAGAGAGAGAGAGCTAAAACTGCCCCTACACGTCCCATACATCCCATACGTATGTAGGAGTTGGTATGGTCTGAAATAAGTACTGCCTCCCCCTCCCCCCACCCAACAACAGCCATCTCTTAGCTACTAGGCTAGATAGTATTCTTGGCTTCAGCTTCAGCATCCCATAAATCTCTTAAAAGAGATGAAGGGAAATTGTGATGGGCAATTTTGTTTGTCATTCAGTAGTGGCAGCAGTAAGCAAAAACAGAGTTTACTGCAATAACAAGTACTTACAACCTGACCCTGTACACGGTGCCATATAAATCTTCATTAAAATGTTATCACGTGTTCTTTGGAAGCACATTCTTCCCCCTCTTTGCCCCCCCAAGCCCAAGCACACATGTTTTAATAGTTTGATGAGATATCATTAATATACATTAAACTGCATATATTTAAAATATACAATATGATGAGATTTGACATGTATGTACATGCATAAAACCATTGCCACAGTTGAGATAAGGAACATATTCATCACCCCCAAAGATTTCCTTGTGTCTTTTTATAATTTATTCCTACCTCCTCCAAACCCCTGTGTCTAGGTGACTACTGGAAGCATATTTTAAAGGCTGCACTATACCATTGAGTAGACAATGTTGTAATTTACCTAATCACTCTGTCATTGTTTCAGTTTTTCAATGTTTTATAAGATCATAAGCATTATTGCTGTGCAAATGCATGACTTTATTCACTATAGCCTGTACCTTTTGGAAGTTATTGAAGCCATAGAGTGGCTTGGCTCTACTTCACGGGAGCATGGCTAACTGTCACAGCACTGCTGACTGGGAGGGGAATGGTTTCCTTAATGTCCTCATTTCATATCCTGCTCAAGGCAGCAGAGGTGGAGATGGCCTATGAGGGTACAGTTCCCTTAAACTGAGTATATTATACTATTAGGTTTTGGGCAGGGGCACCTTCTATTACCAGGAGCTAGAAACATTTGAGAGATAAAGTCATTATTGGTGTAAACCTTTTCTACATTTCAAAAAAGCATGCTGGGTATGAGCACAGAACATTTCCTGAAGCTTAGCGATCATCTAAGGTTAATGCTGGCCTTCAGCAGTCTCATGATTAGCATTTTCAAGCAGGTCATTAATCTCCAGGAAATGCTCAGAATTTTGACTGCTTAATTAAAGAAATGAATAATTTAGTAAAGGATGATTATATGAATTTGAACAAAGAATTTTAATTTTATTATTTATTTATTTTTCCAATGTGTTTTTATTATATTTTTTCCATTACCATTTATCCTCCTATATCCCATGCCTTCTGCAATCCCCACACTGTTCTCCCTGTCAATGAGTCCTTTTTCCTTTTTGCTCAGTCCTTCCACTGCTGAACCTCCCCTCCCTAACTAGCTTTTATCTGCTCTCCATCTATGAGTCTGTCTCTGTTTTGCTTGTTAGTTCAGTTTGTTCATTAGATTCCCCGTATGAGTGAAATCATATGGTATTTGTTTCTCTCTGACTGGTTTATTTCACTTAGTGTAAGATTCTCCAGGTCCATCCATGCTGTTGCAAAGGGGATAATTTTGTTCTTTTTTACAGCCTAGTAAAATTCCATTCTGTGGGTGTCCAAACCTTTGGTGTCTCTGGGACACATTGGAAGAAGAATTGTCTTGCCACACATTCAATACATGAACACTAGTTAAAACTGATGGAAAAAAGAGGTTTTAAGTAAATGTACAATTTTGCATTGGGCCACATTCATAGCCATCCTGGGCCACATGCAGCCCACAGGCAGTGGGCTGGACACCCAAGACAGTTGTTTTACCCACTCATCTATTGATGGACACTTGGGCTGCTTCCATATCTTGGTGATTGTAAATAATGTTGCAATGAACATAGGGGTGCTTATGTTCTTTCAAATTAGTGTTTTGGGGTTTTTTGCGGGGGGGGGGGGCGGTAAATTCCCAGAAGTAGAATCACTGGGTCATAAGACAGTTCCATTTCTAATTTTTTGAGGTATCTCCATACTGCTTTCCACAGTGGCTGTAGCAATGTGCATTCCCACCACCAGTGCACTAGGGTTCTCTTTTCTCCACATCCTCACCAGCACTTGCTGTTTGTTGCTTTCTTGATGATAGCCATTCTGGCAGGTGTAAGATAATATCTCATTATGGTTTTAATTTGCATTTCTCTGATGATTAGTGACATTGAGCTTCTTTCCCTATGTCTATTGGCCATCTGTATGTCCTCTTTGGGGAAGTATCTATTCAGGTCCGTTACCAACTTTTTAATAGGATCATTTGCTTTTTTTGGTGCTGAGTCTTAAAAGTTCTTCATAAATTTTGAATATTAACCTCTATTGATATGTTGGTGAATATATTTTCCCATTCTGTGGGTTGTCTTTTTATTTTGTTGGTGTTTTCCTTTGCTGTGCAAAAACTTTTTAGTTTGATGTAGTCCCATTTGTTTATTATTTTTTTTATGGAACCACAAAAGACCCCAAATAGCAACAGTGATCTTGAAAAAGAAGAACAAAGTTGAAAGACTCATACTACCTAATATCAAACTATACTATAAGGCCATTTTAATCAAGACAGCATGGTACTGGCGCGCGCACACACACACACACACACACACACACACACACACACACACAAGACACATAGATCAATGGAACAGAATAGAGAGCACAGAAATAAACCCATACCTTTTTATCAATTAATATTTGACAGAGGAAGCAAGCACACACAATGGGCTAAAGATACTTTATTCAATTAATGGTGCTGGGAAAATTGGACAGATACACTTAAAAAATAGAATTAGACCACCTTCTTCTGCCACACACAAGAATAAATTCAAAATGGATTAAAGACTTAAATATTAAACCTGAAACCATAAAAAGTCTAGAAGAAAACATAGGCAGTAAAATCTCATATATTGCTCATAATGATATCTTTTTCTGATATACCTCCTCAGGCAAGGGAGACAAAGGCTGTTTTTCTAACATGCACAGCAGCACCCTCTGGTGACCACTTGGTAAATGTAAAAAAGTTAAAATAATTTGAATTTTGGAAATGCAAGGTTTTAAAAATAGGTATGTTATAGGTTTTGATGAGCAAAACAATGCATTTTTTATAAAAGAAAAAATAAAGTAATATTTTTTAGGATGTGAACAAAGCCAGATCTAAAGTAGATGACTTTCTTTGAAAAAATTTAAATTCTCATTTTTCAATAACATTGTAAAATTTAACACTGCAACATTGAAAACTTTTGTTTTAATAAGGAAACTCTCTTCTGTTTTTATAGGTCAGGAAGGGTTCTTTGTTTGATGTAATTTCCTTCCCAGCAAAGACTGCTTTAACGAGCCTAATATATGCCTCATATGCAGCATTAATTTATTTGGTAAGTTAAGAAAATTATTAGGATCTATAAATAAATATACTGCTTTTATGTAATGTTAAAGGCATATTGTACATTTTATTCATGAAACAAGATAATTTTACATTAAAAATTTACTTCACCATAGCCAAATTTACTTAAATAACTAAAATTATTTTATTTCTATAAAGTGTATTATCACTTGGTCAAAATGTTATCATTTTGTTTTCATTTAGCTACAGTTGTTTTGTTTCAGCCACTGTGCCACAGTTGGTTAAAATTTAGTATCCCAGCGTTTAAGTCTATGATTTGGGGGAAAACAAATATTAGTGTAGTTTGAATTATGAGTGGTATAAATTTAAAGTATATTTTGAATTACAAGTGCTGTAATTCAAAAGTGTTCATCAAAAAGCATGACGAAATAAAAAAGATTTTATAAATTATAAGGGATTGTTTCTTTTAATCTATTTCCTTTTATACTTACCTTTACATTTTTTAAAAAAGTATAACATACAAAGAGGGAAGTATACAGCTTGATGAATTACCACAAAATCTATTAATCTATATATCACACAGGTCAAGAAACAAAATATTATATTATTCTAGAAACCTCTTTCTTGGCCCCCTCATAATCACTAACCTCTTCTAAAAAGGCAACCACTATTTTGACTTCTAATATAGTAGGTGTTTTGTTTGAATTGCTTATGTGAATCATATATATCTTACTATATATTCTTTTGTATTTGCCCTTTTTTGCTCAACACTATTATTACAAGATTCATTTATTTGATGCTTGTAGCAGTAGGTTGTTGATTTCCATTGCTGTGTAGTATTCCACTGATTGACTCTATTACTATTTATCCATTCTACTGTTGAATATCTAGATTATTTACAGTTTTGGCTACTCTGAATAAAGTGCTATTAATATTATTGTACATGTTTTGGTGAAATTGCTAGACCATAGAATATGTACATGTTCATCTATAGTAGAGGTTGTCAAACAGTTTTCCAAAGTGGTTTTCACAATTCATTCCAGGAGATTATAAGATTTCCAGTTTCTCTATATCATCACCAACACCTGGTATTATCAATATTTTCCATTTTTGCCATTCTTGTGGGTATATATTATCACATTGTGATTTGAACTTACATTTCCTTGATTATCAATGAGATTGAGTACCTTTTTAGATATTAATTGGACATTTAGATATCCTTTTTGTGAATATCTATTAAAGAATTGTATCTTCTTGTTTTCCTGTTGGAAGTTGTTCATTCTTTTATTATTGATCTGTACTTGTAAAATATGCTGGGGTGAGCAAAAGTAGGTTTACAGTTGTGAGTATCGAAAACACAGTTTATTATTTATTATTGTATGTCAGTATGAACAACTACAAGCCTATTTTTACCCACCCCTGTATTCTAGGAACAAGTCCTCTTTGGGTTACATATGGGCAAATTTATTTTATTCTATGACTTGCCTTTTCTTCTTTTATCAGTATCTTTTAAAACAGAAGTTCTTAATTTTATTTTTTTAAGATTTTATTTATTTATTTTTAGAGAGATGGGGAAGGGAGGGAGAAAGAGAGGGAGAGAAACATCAATGTATGGTTGCCTCTAACACACCCCATACTGGGGACCTGGCCTGCAACCCAGACATGTGCCCTGACTGGGAATGAAACCGGTGATGCTTTGGTTTGCAGGCCTGTGCTCAATCCACTGAGCTACACCAGCCAGGAGAAGTTCTTAATTTTAATATAAACCAGTTTATATTTTTTCCTTTATGTTAAAAGCTTTATATATCTTAATTATGGAATTTTGACCCACATCCAATACATGAAACTCTTCCCTTTGATGTACTCTAGGAGCTTTATTATTATACCTTTTACTTTCAGGTTTATAATGCATCTGGAATTGGTATGAAGTAAGGGTCAATTTTTTCCTTCATGAGTATCCAATTGAACTGACTCAATTTATCAGTGAAAAAACACTCTTTACCTATTGCCCGAAAACACTTCTTTTATCATAAGTGTCCTTATGTATGCGGGTCTGTTTCTAGACTCTTTGCTCTATTCAGTTGATCTATGTGTCTATGCTTCTACCAATTCAACTCTTATTTATGGAAACTTTATAAGTCTTAATAACTGGTAGAATAAGTCCTTCCAATCTGTGAACATGGTATATCTTTCTCTTTGTCTCCTTTATTTTCTCTTAATAATTTTTATGTTTTTTGTTAGATGTCTTGCACATTTTGTTATTATTTTTTATCATTTTGAAACATACAATAATAAAGAATAAATTTTCCCATAATCTGTAGAGTTAGTTCAGTCCCAATGCAAATCTGAGCAGTGTGCATATGTTGACTAGTTTATTCTAAAATTTATAGGGACATGCAAGGGGACAAGAATATGTAAGACACTTTTGAAAAAAGTATTAAAAGAATTTGCTTTTAAACACCTACAGAGTTTTTTTAAAATATGAGTTTATCAAATAAGTATTTTAATAGTGTTGTAAATATTTGAGATGTGCTCAATATCTTAAATGTGAATTTCATACAGAATTGACATTCAACTGAGCTAGAATGCAAATAAACTGCAAAAAATAGGTGAGATTAAATGGCCCTGTTGAAATTAAAAAAAAAAAAAAAAAACAAAAACGAGTCTACAGCCAAAATTAAACTCTAATTTCTCAAAGGCTTTTTTGAAATCATGTCACATGATTTATCATGCTATAAATTTTCTAAGTTGGCAATAAAATAATTTTTGGTTATCTGATAATCGGTCATATGTGCATCCAAGCAAAGCCTAGGAGTGGTCAGGTCTGGAATTATGGTTTTGAAGGCAAATGACATTTATGTTAGAAGTGAATACTCTGAGTGGAACCATGCCAAATGAAAAATGGGAAGTTGACAGAAATGTGCAGCACATGGCAACGTTTAAGAGGAGCTAGGGAGAAATCCATGGAGATAAGAAGCAATAATCTGAAAAGTAAAAGGAGAATCAGGAGAAATAGTGTCAAGGAAATAAAGACTCAGGAAGTGAAGAGTGGTGTCAAAAATAAGCAGAAAAAGGCAAGTAAAGTGAAGGTTTTGGGTTTCCATTAGATCTAGAAGCTGAGAAGGTGGAGATATAACCATCTTGAGAACTATTTCAGTGGTGTGATGGGATAAGGAAGACAGAAATAAGCAGGCTTTGGAATGAAGAGATGATGAAATAGAAACTATGAGTGCAGATTCTTCTTTCTTGTTTGATCAAGAAGTCAGTGTGTAGCAGTTAAGAGGGAAACAGGGTCCCAGGGATTATTAATTTTTTAAGGTTTAGGATGGAAGATACTTGAACATGTGGTAGGGGGAGAGCCAGTTAAACTAAACTAAAAAGGCAGGGAATAAGTGATAGAGAAGATGACAGGGTATACATTAAAAGCAAAGATAGACAGACACTGACCTTGGTGAAGATGCTTCATTTTCTAAAACTGGGACAGAAGTGGTTAGAATGGGCACAGATAAAGTTTTGTAGGTGAGAGAAAAATAAATGTATCAAATATGATAGCACTCCCCAACCTGTTTTCATAGCATGGCATATAAAAAATGATCATATTTGGGATAAATGCATGAAGCTATCTACATGTTAGTGATGCACTTCAAGCTTTATAGTTCTAGGTTTGGATATACTCAGATGCAAGTAACAAAAAAATACCTGACAGTGCCTTCATCGATAAAGACATTTAAATACCCCTCTTAATTAGAAGTCTGGAGTTCCCAGGTTTGCACAGTGGGTCTACAACATCATCATGAACCCAAGGCCTTTCTGTCTTTTTTTTCTGCTATCCTGTTTGTTCTTTTAGTCCTTGGGCTTGCTCAGGTATTACATCCCTATCAGTTTCCAAGGTAGGAATGAGGGGATAGGTAGAGGCAAAAGACAGTCTTTCTTTTTATATAGTAGGAAAACCTTTTCCAAAAATCCTTCCTGAACTCCTGCCTGGAAGACATTTTGTTTCTTTGGACAGAACAGGGTCACATGGCCACACACTAACTGCAGGATGGTTAAGAGAAGCATCTGATGTTTACCCATTCTACAGGGGGAGGCAGGCAAGAATGGAGGAAATCAGTCCTTTCTATAGTCCTTTCTCTGTTACTCTCTGAACATCTTCCAAGTGTTTATAGCCAATTATATCACCTTAAGGCATCGCTGGTAAAATAAACTAATCTAGGTCTTCTTTTATTTCATAGATTGTATTATTCTTATTGTTTGCCTTAGATCCAGGCTGTCAAACTCATTTTCACCGGGGACCATATCAGCGTTTAAAAGGCCGAATGTAATTTTAGGACTGTATAAATGTAACTACTCCTTGAATAGGGGCAAGGAGTTCGACACTGCCGGCAGGTAGAAACAAGGTGCCAGGCCGGATAAAACAAGGTGGAGGGCCAGATTCGGCCCATGGGCCTTGTGTTTGCCACCTGTGCCTTAGATACTTGGCATTATCAGTCTTCATCATTAATAAACTTATAGAATACATTTAGTGGGTGCAGTTCTTAGTGATTCTCACTTTTTGAAATATTTTTCTCTATATGTTTTGACAATCTTAAAGTACTAAATGGCATTGTTGAGGGTAAATGGATCACATGTTTGTTTAGAAATCATTGATCTACTAGCTTACTAAATTCTTACCAGAATGTTCATGCCCTTCCAGTTGTATACATGGGTATAAACAAAGTCCAGGTGGAACAAAGCAAAAACAACATACCTACTGTGAGGTATTAACATGTTGGAGACAAATTTCACCTCTCAGAAAATTCCATTGAATTAAATCAGGAGAATAAAGGAAATGTTTCATTTAATTAAATCAGAATAAAAATATAAAACATCTGCCCTGGCTGGTGTAGCTCAATGGATTGAGCGTGGGCTGCAAACCAAAGTGTCGCAGGTTCGATTCCCAATCAGGGTACGTGCCTGGGTTGTAGGCCATGACCCCCAGCAACTGCACATTGATGTTTCTCTCTCTCTCTCTCCCTCCCTCCCTTCCCTCTCTAAAAATAAATAAAATCTTCAAAAATATACATATAAAACATCTAATGAATTGAGAAAAAAGATGTAAAGCATATCTTTATTTAGTCACACTAGGTTTTAATTTTCTTTCTAGATTATGATGTAATATATTCAGAACAAGGAATCAATCTATTGATGTTTATCATGTGCCGGAGTTCCTGGAAGGAAGTGCTTCTCCAATAGAATATGTAGACTAATGAATGACTTTATATTAAACACTTTATTGGACTTTTCTATCTGCAAATTCAGTGGCTAAAAAAGAAACTTTGGTTTTCAATTTGTTTTCATTATTAGACAGTCTGTGTTAATGCTGTTCTGGAGAAGGTAAAGAAAATTTTCCAAGAAGAAGAATCCATAAGGCAAAACAGAGAGGAGAGTGAGAATCCTAGAAAAGCCTTTTCTGAGCCTGTGCTTTCTGATCCTGTGTTTCCTGAAGGCGAAATCAAAGCAAAACCTTACAGGTCATTGCCGGAGAGGCCAGACAATGTTTCAGACATTCCTGCTAATCATTTGAGTGATAAGATCCAGGTTTTACATTCTGTATTTGACCAATCAACTGAAATAAATGAGTGAGGAAATCTAAACACAAATATCACTGAACAGTTTAAGAGTTATCTATCTAATAACATTTTATCTGACAAAGGTAGGAAACTAGTTTTCATATACTAATAGTTAAGCTGCTTTTAAAAAGGGTGGGGAGGAACTAATAAAATGTCATACTCAAGCATTTATATGGTAGAGAAAATAAAATATACGTATCACTATCTGATATCGTTTAATGAACAAGAAAATGTACCCTTTGGTGGGAAGACTTTATGCTATGTTTTATAATATAGGTCTATTTATAATACATTTATGTTTTTTATTAAAGACTTGTTTTGAGTATCTTTCTAATTATTTTTCTGGAAGGGTAAAACCATCTCAATAAAAATGCTACATATCTTTTTTAGATACATTTTTCAAAGGACATTTGTTTTCTATCTACAGTCTGCATAGTTTGAGTCTGCCTATTATCACTTCTTTTATAACTCATCTGTAAAGTATGAGTTATAAATTATGATTTGCAATTCATAGATTTCATAAAGTTATAAAATAGAATATTATTTACAAATCTGACAAGAAGCCTTCTGTATATGAGGACAGATTTAGAGTAACAAATCTAAAACCAGAAATTGAGTTCATATTACTCACTGTTACTACTGGATCTTAAGAGAAAATGTGTCTATAACTGGCCCTGCTAACGAGAGCCATGGTTTTGCCTGCAGGATATTCTTTGGTTTCTTCCGTGGCAATTCTGGCCACATGTTAGGACCTAAGATAGCCATTATGGACTGGCCATTAGAGGACTAGCACCTAATATAATAGGCTGGGATGTGCCTATTCCAGAGATGGCACATTTCCTATACCTGGTGAGTAGCTGCTGCCATAAACAGTATTTATACAGAGCCCAAGCCTGGCTCTTTAGTAGTAGTCTGAAAAATGAGAGCAAGTGTTGTATTACCTCACGCTGCCCATATTCCAGCAGAAAGGGAAATTTAATAGTGTGTAGAAAAGGGCTCTGTAAGCAGAGTCTTAATGATACTTTATTCACTTATTATTTTTATAATAATCAAGGGAAAGAGTCCAGGTTTGGAGCCTTAATTCAATCCTGTGCCACTAAGAACATTACTGTGCTTTGGGAAGAGGTTCCAAACATGGCAGTTTTTCTCACTCTGAATTCCTATTCTGCTTACCCCAGCTCTTTCTCGTTTGACTTATTCTTATATTCTATGTGCTGCCAAGTTTTAGATACCTAGCACCCAGGATGTTAAAGTGCAGGGTGGGCCCCAGGCAACTAGAACAGCACTGCCCAAAGGTAACTGTCATGGTAAAGCAGGGTGAACCCCTAACACCACCACAACAGAAAGGACTCTGAGGAAGAATACCCTGTACCACTTCTCTCTATAACATGTACATGAAACAGTTGTACATACATGTGCAAAGTTCTCTACAGTTTTTTTTAAAAAATCTTTACTTGAAAATTTCATATAGGCATTCAAATTCAAAGTGCTTTGGCTCACCGACTAGGAAATGTCACATCTCCCATGGCTGGGCAGCAGCTGTGTGTGTCTTCTCACTTTGAGACTGTTTTCTTGATCAGAGAGAAACTGAGCCATGGTTTATTTTGATGTCCAGTATATTGATTAATTTCTTAGTTTTAAACTCAGCATGTAAACTTATCCCATTTCTGGAGGCAATTTTTAAGTGTAAAAAGTTTTTTACACAGGGGTGGGCAAAAGTAGGTTTACAGCTGTTCATATGGAATATAATACAATAATTGATTAATAATACAAGAATAAATTGTGTTTCACATACTTATAACTGTAAACCTACTTTTGCCCTCCCCTGTATTTGGAAAAACTGAAGTTAAGATCTATTCCAAAATATTTAAATTTTACCTTTAAAAAGTAATGATCAAATAGGAGAGGTGGGGAATGCATGAAGGTAGCAATAAAACAAGAATGGAAGAATGCTGAAATTGTTGAAGTTGGGTGATGAGAGTTTATTATACTATTTTGTTTACTTTGTATATATTAAACTTTTCCATGATAAAATCTGCTGTATCAAATAAGGATTGCCCCCACCCATTTTCTTAGTAGATCTTATTTTATACCTTATCTTCATTTTAGTTACTTCAAATTATTTTCATCCTTCTTACAATGCACATACCAGACCTATAACCTTCAGGTTCCAGTCAATCCAGAGGACTGGATGAAATGTATTCTATAGATCCTGATTATAATTCTTACATCATACACAGTACATGTGCTTTGGAGCCTCTCAGATTTATGTGATTTTTTTAAAAATAAGTAATGCACCTATGTTGGAAAAAAATCATCTTTGGTATTGAAGCAAGGTTATTTTCAAAATATACACATTTCTCATTGCCATATAATTTTGTCAGGAAGAACTCTTAATTACTTTGAAGTTTCCAGTGGCATAAAAATCAGAGTCACACTTGAAAGGATCAGTAGAAAGAGTCACATAAATATTCCCATTGTCCACTGTCACTCTATGAATCCTTTGCTTTATTCCTTTAGAACACCACTTGGGTTTTGCTGATGGATCTTTAGGGTTTATAGACTGATATAGTCCTTCTCCTGTTGCCAAAGTGATTTTATATTTATGCCAGGGGCAAACTATACATGGTCGTCCATCAAAATCCTGGGGAAGGAAAAATTGATTTAATAATCTGACATTTCCAATGTTTACAATAAACCTCAAACTCAGAACAGAATATATTGCAGAAGAATCAGGTTAAAGAACAAGCCAGCTTTTCTTTTTCACTTCCATTTAAAAATTATTCATCATTAGGCAGAACATAACTTAGCAGTCATCAGTCCCTTTCACTGTTTATGAGAGACCCAGTGTGTTAGAGCTGGATCAGAGGGTTACTAGCTCAGGCAACTATACCATGTTACTGCAGCTGTGCTGTTATCTATTAGATGCCAATGCCGCTTCCTTGACAGAAATGAAGCAATGGCTTCAGGTGCTTCTAAAGGAATTTTCACTAGATGCTGGAGGAATGATAAGCTTCAGATGTAAATCAAGAGAGGTTACTAAAGGCATGAGTGCATATATTAATTGCAGAGCGATTTATGATCCAAAGTAGTCAATTCTCAACTGTTTAACTGTATTAGAGAGTGCTTCTCAAATTTTGAAGAGCATGGTAATCACTAATATCTATTTAAATACAAATCTTGTTTAAATTTAGTAGGCCTAGGGTGAGTGCAAGACTCTACATTTCCAATAAGCTTCCACACGGCACCAATATTTCTGGGCTATTTACCACACTTTGAGTAGCAAGGTCGTATAGCTCTCAAGGCCTAAAACTGAGGAAAATTCTTTTACATTTATTATCACCAGGTGCTTACTTTTTTTTACACCAGAAGTGCTGGAATATTGATATTGTACCCCCAGAAAACTGTTAGCAAACATTCACATTTTTGTGATTCATTAATTAATATTCATAATTTACATACACATCCTTTATCACAAGGGCAAGTGGGAAACTAGGTAGATAGGAAGTGTAGAGAGAGTGGAACAGTAAGTTTAAGGTTGTACTTCATACAAGTCAGAGAGAAAGAGAGAGGGGTATCAGTTTCATGAGAGAGGGAGAGGAGAGAGGAAGATAGAGAGGTAGGGAGAGGGAGAAAAACAGAGAGGGGTATCAGTTTAATGAAGCAGAAAAATGAGAAATAAGGTAGCTAGTTTGGGAATGCAAGGAAGCAAGACAGTTTTCTCATTCCTCCAGTTGAACTTTCAAAGTGTGGTTTCTTTCTCAAAACATAAATTTATATTTTTATTACATTATAAAAGTAATATATACTCATTGGAAAAATTCAAACCATGCAGAAGTGTATAAAATAAAAAGTGAATGTTATTTTTTATTTTAAAATGGAATTACATTAAAACTATTATTCTATGACTTACTTTTTTCACTCAAGAATATATTGTTGACATCCTTCTATACCAACATATATAGATCTGCCTTGTTAATTTAGTTGTTGCACAGTATTCCACAGCATGACTATTCATAATTTATACTGTTTCCTATTGCCGAAACATTTAGGTTGTTGTCAATTTTTATTAAAATAAATAGTGTTAAAATGACCCTCTCCTATAGATACAATTAAACACTTGTGCAATTATATCTGTGGGGTAGATATCTCAGAGTATAATTGCTTTGTCAGAAGATATGCATATTTCTCACATTCATCTGTGAAATGGTTTTTTTACATTGTAGGGCTGTAAATTTCTAGAATATTAAAAATGATACTAGAAGTATTAAAATGTAGTCCAAACCTAAATGTAAATCATTTTTAATACAGAATGAAATAAGAATGTAAATAAGAAATATCTGAGTTTTATGAGAATAGATTTAATGTCACATACCTCTATGTCTCCCAAATGTAAAGGTCCTCCTGAGTCTAAAAAGAAATCGAATATTACATCTAGTCACTAAAAAGTCTGAAATTTTGAGTTTTATGCTTAGTAAGCAAATACAAGATTTACAAATGAAAAATAAAATCTTACGGTAACAGCGAATATCCATAGCATGATATTCTCCCTTGTGGTAGAAAATGACCACTTCTCTCTCATGGACAACAGCTGTCATTCTTTCAGATTTCTTAATGTCATCTTCTCTGCCAACATAGATGGGAGGATTTTCCTTCATTTCAGGATCTTGCTGAGAGCCATCAAGATCCATGCTGGTTGAACCAAAAAGAAAGGAAAAAAGAAAATTGCAAGTGGTCTCCAGTAGTTTGGCTATAACTTAGCTCAGAGATAATCATATCATATGAGAAGTCTGATTTCTCTGAGACTGGTAGAAGCACTTTTGGTAGCTATATAAAATAAAACATTTGTAAATATTGGATTATAGTTAGTCATGATTTTGAGTTATAGACCTTTAAAGCTTCCCAAAATTGTGGAGAACTCCTCGCGTTGAGGCTGGACTTGTATAGTAGATTCATTTTAACGTGTAAGATGGATATTTCAGAACTCCTAAGACACAGACTAAAGTTTCACCGTCCTTTTATTCCCCATCAGACTCAATGCTAAACAACATTTGGTTATGCCACTGAAGGTAGGTATCTCTGAGTCTGAATACTCTTGGACCTCTAGGTTAAGAGGGCTCACCTGGTTTTATTTTTCCTTTTTTTTTAAAAAAAAACTATTGGTTTCAGGTGTACAGCTCAATGGTTTAAACAATCATATAATTTACATAGTATTTCACTCAATATTTCCAGTACCCCACGTGATCACAATATCATCATCTATTATTTCATATGCTTTATTTACTTACCCATGACTATTTTGTAGCTACCAGTTTATGCTTCTTAGTCCCTTCACCTCCATCACCCAGTGACCCAACTCCTCTCCCTTTGGCAACCACCAGCTCTCTCTATATCTATGAGTCTCTTTCAATTTTGTTTGCTCATTTATTTTGTTCTTGAGATTCCACAAAAAATGAAATCATATGGTATTTGTCTTTCTCTGACTGACTTATTCATGAGCATAATACCCTCTAGGTCCATCCATGCAGCTGCAAATGGTAGGATTTCATTATTTTTTGGCCAAGTAATATTCCACTGTCTATATGAACCATTGCTTTTTTATCCACTTGTCTATTGATGGGCACTTGGGCTGCTTCCATAGCTTGGCTATTAGTAATAATGGTGCAATAAACATAGAGGTGCATACAGTTTTTCAAATTAGTGTTTTGGGTTTCTCTAGATAAATTCTTGGAAGTGGAAACACTGGGTTGGCTCACTTGGTTTTGCCAGCAGGGAGAGACAGCTCTTACAGATCAACTAGATGACTATTCTGGCAGAAGGAGACAGGTATGACTGGACACCTTGCACTTTCTTAAATCAGAAATTGTCATTACTGTCTTCTTCCTCATTTGGCCATTCAAAGAGATGACTTCTCTTCAGTTAATCTATAGCAGTATATTATACAAACTCATATTTCTAAACAAGATTTCATAGAGAATTTGCAGGTGTTTAAATACAATTTTTTCTCAGTACAGATACTCAGCCTATTTCTTTGAAAGCAACCCTTCCAAAGAGACCTTCTGTGTACTTTAAGAACATAGTCTTCAGGCCTTCTAGTGGTTTCCCTAAATATTTATTTAATCCTGCATGGCTGACTACAAGTTTGAAAATGTTAGTAGGAAAAGAGCATTGGCTCATTTAGCTATTTTTAAAAACTGAGGTATAACTAACATACAACATTAGTTTAATGTGTACAACATAATGATGATATTTGTATATATTGTGAAATGATCACTGCAATAAGTCTAGATAACATCCATCAATATACATAGTTATAGAATTTTTTCTTGTGCTGAGGACTTTTAAGATCTATTCTCTAGCAACTTTCAAGTGAGAGGATGGCTTGTTTAAAAAATAAGTTCATCCCAGTCAGGGTACATGCCTGGGTTGCAGGCCATGACCCCCAGCAACTGCACATTGATGTTTCTCTCTCTCTCTCTCTTTCTCCCTCCCTTCCCTCTCTAAAGATAAATAAAATCTTAAAAAAATAAGTTCATAACAGAAATTATTAAGAAGTAAAATCTCTTTGTGAAGGCAAGAAACAAGCTTTAGAAAAAGGAATT